TCCTTGCCAGCAGTGATGACTCACATGAATTATCTTTTCTCTTTGTATACTGTCTAGTGTTTATCCATTACAGTTCTGTATTGTTTTTCATTTCTTGCAAGAAAATGAACAACATTATTACTACATTTCCCTTCAGTTTAGCATTTTTAACCTTTCCTTTGCATGGGACTTCATAGACAGAAAAACCTGAAATTCTTTGGGCTCTTTGGAGCATTGGGCACTTCTTTAGGTATTTCTGGAGGGTCCTCAACTTTTTCAGTGTGGACTATTTCTAGATCTGCCCTGCCCAGTTATTATCCCATTACTGTTAGCTGTGCAAAAGTTTTATTCTTCTCTGACTTGTTTATGTGCACTTGCACTACAGAAACCTAATAGGAGCATCTGTTAACTGTGGAAGTAGTATGTATGGTTGATTCATCCCCATAGTTTCTCTACAAAAGTAATTACTTACACTTCCTTTGCAAAACAGACTGCCAGAAGGTCCTCTGTCAGTCCATGTTTTTGCTCTCTCCGTTGCTTTGTCCGAGTACTTGAGGCTTGTCTGAGTGACAGTGGCAGGAACTCCAGAATATCTACAAGATACAACAAGCGAATTGGATATTTGTCTCTTAAAATAAGTTACTATATTGATGATCATGGCTAAGTGCTGTTTAAATAATTTCTGTAAAATAATACATTGCCACAATCAGTACTCTTTGAAATTTTATATTATGGATATACAGTAGACAAAAGGTTACCTCCAAAAAGCTAAAAGACTTTTATTTTTTTACTTACAATAAGACTAGAAATTAAGAACACAAACTTTGCAGAACCCTTAAAAACACACAACACCCTCAAAAAGCCAATTTGCATAAACATGAGAAAAGTTTTTAACAAGAATATGACAAGAGCTGCATCTCGTTGAGACCTATCACATGAAAGAGAACCTTCCAATGCCTTGCAAGACTTTCTGCTTTTTTAAGACTCTCAATTCCCCTCCCCACCCTTCATCTGCCTAGGTAATCACAAGAAGCCTCAGATTTAGCTCAACACTCCAGTCTTTATTAAGCATTTTGACTCTGCAAGATTAACCTATGTGAGTCACAGTAGTCATCTCCTTCTGCAGTCTGCTCCCACTGCTTAAGTATTAGCTACCTCCTGGAGAGATCCTAAAACAATAATGAGCTCAACTTCACCAGACGCATACTACCACAAAGCCTAGCTCCCCTCTCAGTGCTTGCCCCATGCATGGCATACAGTCCATCCAAACACCTTGATGGTATTTATACAATAGCATGAGGTCATGGCCAAAGCTCTGTGCTGCACTCCAAGTCTAACAACAGATCAGAGGTGAGATCAAAAGACTAATGGATAATCGGTTTGCATTATTAACAATGTTGTAAATAAAATGAAGAGGAAAGATCAATCTCCTGCCTTAATATTTTATTTCCTTCCTTTTCCAGGCTAGGGTCATGGGAATGTGCCCTGCCACAGCCTGACCTGACACTACCCACTGGTTTTCTTTTGGAAGTAAAATGCAGGTGCTGTGGATCCAGGGCATCTTGCTTGCGTGAAATCTTTGTTTCTTACCTGTTTAAAAACCTCTCACGGCACACTAAATACGACGTCTTTCTTTTTGTAACTATTAGTTTAATCCTTCAGCAAGGGACCATTTAAACTCTTGTTAGCTAACCCGGGAAACTAATAAATCCCTTCCTCTGCCTGAGAATACTTTTCTCTACCATTTTCCAGCCTACTGAGCTTTGAAAATGGCATATCCAGTCCAGTTTTTGAAAAGCTATCATCCACTACATCCAATATGTTTATTGCCAGGTTATTCAAACAGTACCTTCTAGGTTTAATCTGCTGATAATGTAACTTTCACTCACATATGACCTACTGTAGATGGCCTGCAGTGTGTGTTGCCTTTAGGTTTTATAATTAACCACACAAGACAGTTAAAATGCAAGCATGTGTGTCCTAGTTTGGAAATCTGGTCAGCAGCACAAAGAAGCTGCTACCATTGCAGTCACACACGCGTTTGAAGTTTAGGGGGCTCTCTGCTGCTTTTTTCTTTTTTAGATTGCTTATCGAGTTGGGTTATTTTAGTATTTGTAAGGTAAGTATGCCATGTATGTTCTCTTGCAAGCCGTAGCAGTGAACTTGCTTGTCACAGGTACATGGTAGGATGGTGGATGCATAGTCTGAACTTGTAGCTAGGGCTTACAGAGTGAAGAGAGCAATCTTTCTGTGCAGTCATTTTGTTTCTAAAGAGCCTTTAGGAATGATGCAAAAACATGGCCTCAGTTTAAATTGCTTACCTTTCCTTGAAAAATTTGTCCCTCTGGATAGCTTAACAAAAGCATTTACGTGCACTTAGTTTGAATGGATTTGGGGAATTCTATATCCACTATACCAGTGGGGCTGGTCAAAAGCTCTCCAAGATAGTCTGGGTATCTGGAGCCCCTAAGTTTGCTGTCTCTGCACAGGTTGTGAAGTTTGCAGGAAGAAAGCCATCCTGATGGCATTTTCTGTGCTGGCATCAAGCCAATCCCATAGGCAGTGTTTGCAGAGCCCATGCAGCTGTAAGGCACTTTAGCAGCCACCCAGAGTCAGCTGAAGAGGTGGCTGGGCTAACTACAGTGGCTGTGGTTGCTAGACCTACTGCACTGTACACAGTTGGTACTCTGTTGGAAATGTCTTTTGTGTTAGGAAGTGGGTCCATCCTGATCTCAGAAGAGAGATACCAAGGTCCCACACCCTACTGAAAGGTCTTTCTCTGGCATTTTCCCAAAATCCTTCTTTTCAGCTTGTCACGCTGCCATGACTCTGCAAGCTGGGTGCAAAAGGAGGCAAGGCTGCCTGGTGTATTTGCATGGTACACCCAGGTGGGATCCAAAACAAGTGCAAGGCCAGTCTTGTCAAAAATGCTGTAAAGGCTTGCGGACCAGGTGATGTGTGAATGCACTTGGTGAGGTGTGTGGGTATCCTGAGGGTACAGCACCATGGGGTATATCTGGGAGAAGGGTGTGGACATGGCCATTCGTACCACTAAGGAGAATGAGGCATCTGACTTGGAAATCTTGCACAGACTTAAAACTGTCTCTGTCAGGCCTGACTGAGATAATGTGAGACCAGGTGGCTATACTGACAATCCAGAAAACCCTTTCTCTGTATTCTCTCTCTACAGCCTCACCTACACAATGAACAAGAGAAATGAAAGGCTGCTCAGACAGAAGACTAAACAGAAGTAAAAAATTATGTTCTGGGATCTCCCCAAGAGAAAGAAATGGAACCACTGAAAGCCAAGCCAGCAATGCAACCCACTTCAGGGTACAGCAACCAAGTATCGCACATGTGTATGCTCAGGTATAAACCCAGACTAACAACAATCAGGAAGACCCAAAATATCTAGATAACAGAAACCTTTTCTAGAGATACCAGTGATGAGTTAGCTGGGCTGCCTTTGTTGGCATCATGAAGGAAGCCAGCAAAGCAGCTGTTAATAGTTTTTCTTGTGCGCTTCCTTCCACTGTTCATTGTAAGGACTGTGTAACACACTCCAAACTCTTTCTTCTTTTTAACAAACTGCTAGTGCAAGAAAAACGATTGTAATTCATTTAGCAGTAAAAGTCAGCAAGCTTTTTGTTACTGGTGGGGAAATGAATGAAAAGAATCATTTATGCTTAAGCATGAAAAAGTCCAGAGATGTTAGGTGTTGGGTCAGAACAAGTTGAAAGAAACAAATGTTGTTCAATTCATTGAAAATCTTAAGTAATGTATTACCAAGTTTTTTTCTGTCATGCTATCACCTGCAAATGCTTGTAATAAAAATCAGTCAACAAGCAAGTCACTATTTTATATACTAAGTTCAGATTTTATAGGCTAACTTAAATCTCAGAGCTGATTTAAGAAGTACCTTCATGTAGAACATTTTTTTTTTTGCATGTCTGTTAAGGTTGGTGTGATTAAGGGGTTAATTAGAATGCTAAATGCGTAGTTCGCACGCAGCAAGATACATCTCACTCCATAAAAACAGCTTTATGACATGGGAAAAAGTAGGATTTTTTCAGTATAATTGTCTTGTGTATTTGCAGCAGGATGAGAGATTTTAAACATATTAAAACAATACATTTCCAATTTTCTTTTATTATTTATGGTAATTGAACTGTCTTTCTTGATGTTTATATTGCCACAACATTTCTGAAGCTGTATTTACTGCACCAGTTACCTCTACATTATGGCTACAAAGGCTGTATGGAGCTGCACACAATAAAAACAAAATGAAAGCTGTAAAATGCAGTTGTGTGGCTCTTAGCATACCAAAACCCAACTGTGGTATTGATGGAGGGAGTAAACTGGGGCTGGGCAATTCCAAATTTATTCTTTCTAAATGTTTCACAGTTGACATTTACTTTAACCTGGTTCTTTGAGGGGCCTCACACTTTTGTTTTATCTGGTTATTAGTTTTTATGGGACGTGGAATACCTATGGCAATGCGATGCTTGTATTTCAGTGTCCTCACCATGTGTGGTACACTACAGTGGCACGCAGTTCGTTGTCCAGCAATGACACCCCTTAACTTCTCACCCATAGCATGAGTTATTCTAGGCCTGTTTGAGAACTTTATACACATCACCAGAGTGAAGAAGTCTTCTACTGCACATGCAAGAAGCCCGAGGCTGCAAAGCCCCAGGGCCACCACTGCCACAGTGACTGGGCGAGCAAGGCATGCCTCTGGCCCGCAGCCCCTCAGAGCCAAGGGGACGGCCGCCGGCCCCTGAGGCGCTGACCGCACTCACCGAGCCCGTGAGGGGAGGGCGGCAAGATGCCCCCGCCAAAATGGCCGCCCACCTTCCCTCGCCCTCGCCCTGAGAACTACAGCTCCCACAGTCCCCCGCGGCACGGGGGACCCGCGCTGCATGTGACGTCACCCGCCGCCTCGTGGGGGGAGTCCCAGAGCCCTCGCCAGGGGAGGATGATGGAGGGGAGGAGCGGAGAGCGCCTGCGCCCCGGTCCCCGCGCCGCAGAGTGGGCGGGGCCTCCGCTGCTCGGGGAGAGCGTAGAGCAGCGCATCCGCCGGTAGCGCAGAGTGCCTTTTGGGGGCGGAGCGAGGCGGCTCCAGGCCCGGCTCCCCTGTCAACACCGGCCAACATGGCGGCGCGGAGGCCCCGCTCCGCCGCAGGTCAGTGAGCTCCCCAAGGGCTCGGGCGCGTCCGCAGGAACGACGTCCTGTCCTGTCCCCTTACGGGAAAGGGGGGTAGGAGGAGGGGGCAGCCCGGTCCCCTGCCGATGCCGGCCCGCGGGGGAGGGATGGCCCGGGCTCTGCTCCTCCCCCTTACGTCCCTCCTTCGGCCGGTGGGGGAGGCCGCCTTTGATTCGTCTCTGGCCGGGATCGATTGGCGGCTGCATCGGTGCTGGTGGCCCCGTTTCCGTGTCTCCCCCTTGGCCTCCTCAGACCCCTCCCGGACTTCACGGGAACCCCGCCGGGGATCCCGGAGGCTGCGGAACGGAGCGGTGTGCGTGGCCTCTGCCAGCACCTCGACTTACAACGTGCAGCTCTTCAGGTGTATTTGGTATGGCCTTGCCGTGTAACGCCGCTCTGCGCAGGCACAGCTTCGTGTGCTTGGAGAGTGTGCATATTATTGGCCTCTAAGGAATGGGGTATTTTCCATCAGTTGAGAGTTATGTGAGTCACAGAATGGTTTGGATCATCCAGTTCCAAGCCCCCATGCCATCGGCAGGGACACTTTCCACTGGACCAGTTTGCTCAAAGCCCTGTCAACCCTGGCGTTGAACATTGCCAGGGATGGGGCAGCCACAGCTTCTCTGGACAATCTGTTCCAGTGTCTCACCACCCCCGTAGTGAAGAATTTCTTCTTAATATATAAATCTTTTCCACACAACATGTTATACTTGAGTTTTGAGTTGAATAATATTAATTTAGGGGCACCATTAGCTAACAGTCTATGACAGTGTTTTTATGTTCTCCATTTAAAGGAGTTAAAGAGTTTGCTGCCATTACCTCTAAGTTGGAATGAAAGAACACTCAGTAACAGCATTTTTAGCATTCTGGGACTTGCTTTTTATGTTCTAGTACTCAAGGATGCTTAGGTGCTGAAATAATAAAATGTTTATATCTACAGTCTTACTTTATAATTGTAGGTAGTAATTTAATTTCTCTTCCTCTCTGGAGCGTCCCAGCATCATTGCTGATCTTGCATTGCACCATGTATATGTTTAACCAACATGGGTTTAAATTCATGCATGCATATCCATAGAACTGTGATTTAATACATTTTTCATCCAGAAATTTAAAACTATCTCTTCCATTTGATGTTTGAGTACACATGATGTTTTGAATCTCTAATTTGAAGTTTTAGGATGTCTGGTTTGAAAACGTTGACAGAATTGTACTGCATATATGGAACTTGGTAGAAGTCCCAGCTTCATCTATTTCACTTATTATGGAAAAGGAACAGAACAGACCGGTTTTGGCTTATTAGTGTATGCTAAGTTTTGGCCCTCTGAAGAAAACACTAGGCCAGAAGTTTTCAGTGTCTCAAGGTTTAGGTCTAGCTAGAAGAGATGTGTGTACTTTCTCTTAAGTTAGGCATGTTTCATATAGCTAACGATCATCAAAGCAGTTGCAGTAGGTCAGATTAAAGTCCTGCCTTCTGTGCCTAAAGACCATCAGCTGCAGGATAGAAGCTTAGGTTAGGGCTGAAAAGGACCTTAAGATCATCTAGTTATAGCCCCTCTGTAATAGGCAGGAACACCACACAGTAAACCACGGATGAGCTAAAAAATGCAGGGTAAGCATGTACTGATACTTTCTCAGAATGTTTTCAGTGATTTTCAGCTTAAGACTTCACTAACTATGGTAGTTGCCTTTTGTCTGACAGCCCTTGCTGTACCTTTCCTTTTTTTTTTTTTTCACTCCTTTAATATTTTCTGTTGTTATTTGAAGTCCATATCAGCTTTTCCTATCTACAACATCTTGCAGTAAGCTGTTCCACAGGTTAACCAGAGCTTCTGGAGGGTGGGGGTTAAAGGAGAGGAAAGGAAGACTTACTTTTATAACCTTGAACAGGCTACCTGGTAGTTTCATTGATACCTTTTAGCTCCTGTACTTGAACAGGGAGGAGATTCCTGTTCAACTTTTCACCTTTGACCACTTAATACCAAAACCAGGTCTGTTGATGTTTGGGGGCTTTACATAGTTTGTTAATTTACTCTGTAACAGAGAAAAATAACTTTTCTTTTTTTCTTTAGAACATGACAGTGACGACGATTCTTACGAAGTGTTGGATTTAACAGAGTATGCGCGGCGTCACCATTGGTGGAATCGTGTGTTTGGCCGGAATTCAGGACCGATTGTAGAGAAATACTCTGTAGCTACCCAGATTGTCATGGGCGGTGTGACTGGCTGGTAAGGCAGCATCACTTTTCATAACTGTCCCAGACCTTTTACTATGTTACAAGATCATTTCCAAGGCTATTTGAAGCATATGTGTATTTAGCTTCTCTAACGGGATTTCCTTTATCATTGATCAAGATTATTCATGTGTGAACAATTTCTTGACTGGCTACTCTGACTCATCATTCTAAAATGTTTTTGTAGTATTGGTAAAATGCCAGTTATCTAAGGGAACACCTACCAGTTACTGTGAAAGGGATTTGGGGAAATGTCAGAGCTCTGAAAGTACAAGAAATAAATGGAAAATTACTGCATTTACCTTTTGTTTGTATGGAAAAGCTTATTTCCTTACTAGTATAGATTTAGAAACCTAGATATGATATTATGGCTAAGACATATTTTATAGGTAAAAAACTAAGGAATAAGGAAAAAAGTGTGGGTGAATATAGTTTGTTTAAAGGCCCCATTTCATAGAGTCTTTTTTTCCTCTCTAAATTCAGCTGGAGCCATTTTGAACAAATTAACAGTCTGCTGCTCTCATTTAACTGAAGAGAGATACCACAGTATAGTTATGCTAAAATAACTCATGGTGAAAGCCAGACAGTAAAGATGAGAACTTAAACTGGGAAATGTGGTCACAGCCTTAGCAGCTATGTCAAGGTATTTATTATTTGTCAAAGGTATTTGAATGGTATTGGTCTATTCTAGCACTCTTAAAAAATAAGTTTGATGAAAAGCAACATTATGGGAGCATGGTAACTTTTAGAACAGAATTATGCAAGATTTGGAAGATGAAACTAAAAATTAAATTTTCATGGCCAGGCTCAATGCAACTTTGAGGCACGTAGGCTTAGCTTTCAGTCTGATTTTCTTTTTTCTTTTTTCATTTTTTTAAATTTGCTTCTGTTGCCTTAGAATTATTTTTTAAGTTAGATGTGTATACCTAAACTCTGACGCTTCTAGAGAATTCATAAAAACTGGATTATTGAAGGATCTGGAAACTGTATTTCAGCATCTGTAGATACATATACCTCTGTATGTATTCATGTATATAAATATGAATTCACTATGCATATGTAGGGGGGAAAATATTCCCCCCTTTGTGTGAGCTGGTGTGGGGCATGGGTCAGATGCTAGCAGAGTTGTCTATAGAAGTCATGGAACAATCATCTTTGAACGCGTGCATCACTTTCCCGAGTTCAGTCAGGAATCGTTATCAACCTGATTTAGTTTGGAGGTTGGATCAGACTTTGCAGCTGGCCCGGTTTTGGGAAGGCTGCTGGACTAGATGACCTCCAGAGGTCCTTTCCTGCCCAAACTATTCCATGATATTGATGTCTGTGCTGTTCTCTATTCGATGTGGAAGTGTTTGGAGACTGCGAACAAGATAATTAATTTTCTTCTTGCCTTGATTCATTAAAAATAGACTAAGGCCATGTCCCAGTAAAGAGTCCCAGCTGATTTTAACTCTTGTGGAAGGGTTGTAACTTCTTTTTACCTAAGGTATTTAAGTTACCGATTGTGTAGTTAATATAAATGATGGTATAATATATTTACCTTTCATTTGGGAACACTTATAGTGACACTTTTATATTACTATGCTGTGCTTTAGTAACACAACTATGTTGAGTAGGATCATATAGCTTCTGCGTAAAGACAATGTCCAGAGGTCTCAAGCTAACTTTAAAGGGGCCATAAGACAGCCCTGAACTAGCAACCATTACTGACATTGTCTTGTGTTAGATATTACTAATTAAAAATTGTTTTTATTAACTATTCTGATTTTAAAATTTAGAGATGTGAAATGATACATTTACTTTCTTAAATATCAAAATAGTAATAGTTGTAGTTGGTAATACTGGCGTATGGCATTGTTCAGCAGACAACTTCATTGGACTCGTTTTTTTTCTGTTTTGTTCTCCTAAGGTGTGCGGGATTTTTGTTCCAGAAAGTTGGAAAGCTTGCAGCAACTGCAGTAGGTGGTGGCTTTCTTCTGCTTCAAGTATGTAGCTTTTCATACTTTGTAAGTCGGCAAATATTATTTACTAAACAATAGGAAAAACTCAACTGTCAGGCAAAATTTAATTAGGTAGGCTTCTTATCTCCCTTATCTTTTTAGTCTTACCAGTCAAAAACTTCTGTTTCAGCTGGAATATTGTTTACAAACAAGATATTTGTGAAAAATCAGTGGTAAATCAGCACCTACGCTATTCTGTAAAATAGTTTGCAGTAAGCCAAAAGAAACATCTGTGCAGAAACTGAGATGCTGTGTGTGATTCAGTATTGCCAGATTAGAGGGACTGCCTGTAAACCTATGGGAGATAAGTAATTTAAGCTGTGTTTATTTTAAATAGATATGAGAATTTTATTGGTGTTTTAGGAGGAGTACATTTTTTTTGCAGTTGCTTGGAAGGCTTGCTCAGGTCCTGTTTTGAAGCCCTGTTTTTCTCTTTTCTCCCCATGCTGTATTTACTAGTTATGTGTGTTGAGCCTCTGAAGGTTTGCTGATTTCTGATAGCTTCGTTGCATTCCTCTGTGCAATTACGTTTCAAGTCCAAAACTCTTTAATGATGTTATCTGGCACGACCATTTGCATTTTTCATCAGATACTGTGGTTAGGGCAGGACATATTTCCAAAAAGGCTGCAAATTAGATAACAAAACTTTAAGTGAAGGAGAATTTCCTATATCCTTCTGTAAGATGCCAAGTAATTCTGAATGTTTTTTAGTGGTGTTTTTAGTACCTTAATACCTGTGAGCCTGTCATTTTTTCTCAGATCATTCTAGAGGAAATAAACTGGTGCCTGCTTAGGTTCAATAACACACAGCTTTTTTGAGACAGGATGTTAAAAGATACATATTAATTCTTTCCAACATCACCCTGGAGGACTTCTGAAGGGCATGTCCCACTTTTAGTTACTCCTTTGGTTGTAATGGCTCTTGCAGTCAACCGTTGATCAGGAAGTCTTGGGGAGTACCTCTAATTGCTGCTGTACAATGCACCTAGGTGTCACAGGTGTTTGAAGAACTCTTACTTCCTTCATGATGCTGTTTTCTACTGGTTTGTTTTTTTTAAAGCACATAATAAACATATAACTGAACTGGAACATTCTACCTGAGAATGTATGCTCTTGGAACCATTTGGTTTAAGTTGCTTTAAACAAATATAAAGTGTATTTTATTTTTAATTACACAAAAGCAAGCATCAACAACAATGTAAAAAGTCAAGGAAAAATAGTCTTGATATGAAGTTTTGTAGTATTAGCACTTCACCATTGTGCACTGATAACCTTTTTGAATCTCCTGGAAATCACTGGTTATTTGGCTTGTACCTAAAGATAGAGATGAATTTTACAAGAGTGTCGAATCTGAAATGGTTTAGACTTACCCACATAAAAATTTTTGGCAAAATATGCTATGCCAGCAAATGAATCAATGTGATGGAGAACTCTGGATTTTTTTAGGTTGCAATGTGTATTTCTGGGTCATGAGGGAAGAAGTAAATCTTTATATATATTTATATAGTTAATCATCATCATGATGGCTTGACTTCGTGACCGAAGATTTGGGAAGGGCTTTACCCACGCTTACTAGCCAAGCACGCTGATGACTATAATACACACACATATATATATGCAGTGGATCTTGAAGTACTGACCATCCTTTTCATCTAGCTGACTTGAAGATCTGAATCACTCTTACCATTTTGTAAGCCACTGGTCTTAATTATTTTCATGACAATTGTCACATAAATACAACTGAAGAGCCTATGGAACAGAGGCCTGGCATCCAGGGATAGCAGGCAGAATGTTGTCTGCAGGTGCCTTCTTTAGTACTTCTGACTACAGGAAACTAGAAGGTTAAAACTAAGGCCTATAAAAAAAGAAAATTGCCTAAACACATTATTTGTGCAATATTTTCACTTGTTGAGCTGTAAAGTTTGGGGAGCTTTCTTGTACACAAAATAGATTTGCCATATGTTTGAGTGCCTGATTTCTTGGTCGATCTCATTTACAGTGTATCTGAAAAGGAATATTATCCAAGAGGAAAAATGAGTTGAATATTTTGATTGAGTTGTCTATATCTTTGATTAAGCAAGATCAGATTCTGTTGGAAAGGAATGAAGTAAATGCCTTGGTCTTTCTTTTTGATTCAAAACGTTTTGCATTTTAAAGCTGAGTCATAAATTCTGTAGTGTAATTACATTTCTGTAGTCTCTAATTTTTTCATTTAAAGATCACACATCGTGATTTTAATTTCCCTATGAATACATGTTCAGTGTTTCCCCTGAGTGGGCAGAGGAATGTTTCAGCACATGACTAGAAACTTTTTTTATCTGTAAATTTCTATGAAGTTGCAGATTCCATTTCAACTGGTGTTTGCAATATTGACATTGTAATAGGCGCTAAAACAAAAAGAACTACAGAAGGGAAGATTCTCAGGTACAGCCTATTCAGTGAAACATTTAAGTTCTCAAAAATCTAAAAAAAAAAAAAGGACATTTTTTTTCTTCAACATGTGATGATTTCATCTCAAGAAATGTAGTAGGAAACTGAAAGCAATGCATTTTTGGAGTGTCAGTTTGTACAAGAAGGAAAAAAGATTTTTTTCCAATTTTGTAAGTGGTATAAAGTTTTTCAGTTTTAATACAGATGAAATGAAAACTAGCATGAGGAACAGAAAAAAAATGGCATTACGAATTTGTGTTCTTAAAAGTTAAGATTAGTTATCACATCTTTGAGCTGGGTATTTTGTCATCTTATTTGATCAGTTAACTGTCTTTTTTTATTGAAATGGATGTAGCTCTTCAAACATGTTGGCGTAAGACCCAGTAGCCATGCACTACATTAAGGAAATTGTAATTAATTTCTCACAACAAGTGAAGGATTTTCCTTGTATAACTTTTACTTCATAGAGCACATTTTGGTGAAATCCCAGAGTAAGGAAGTATGAGCTCATATGGTTCTGCTATAATGAATTAGCTAAAAACAGTTGTTATTAATGAGTGCCTGTTCTCCGTGTGGTTTTAAACTTCTTTATTTTTAATAATGGTTTCATTGCTGTTTGTTCTGCAGTCAACATACAAATTGCAGGTTTTCTCTTTGTGTGTTGAGTCTTATTTACCCATAAATTAATATTTTTGTTTGGTTATTTCTGCTTTCGTGATATATTTTGCCTCATCCCATTAATATGCCATTGATGAATTCAGTTTGTCCTTAAATTATTTTCTAACTTATGAAAAGTAAATATCTGGGGGAGAAAAAACAACCCAAACCACCCCCCCCATCCCCCCCTCAAAAAAAGAAACAAACTCTTGAGACATCCTTAGCTATGTTTTATACCTGTGTTTGTTGATACCATGCTATGATGATGATGATGTGGCATCTCAGTCAAGTGGGGAGAGAGCAGTGTGCTTCTGAGGGTAGGGACCTCCTAAGAAAGAGTTATACTCAGTTTTGCATTGAATATCCCATTTTGACAGTTGATGTGTGTGTACTTTGAGGGAACATTTAATGGAATGCCAAAGCAAATGGTAGTTGGAAAGTTAGCCTTCTGTTTCTGGCACGTTTTGACATGAAATGGAGGGGCATGGGTTTGCTGCCTTTGGAGTAGTATGCCAGCAGATGATGACTAAAGATACAGCTTCTACCATTTAACTCTTTGTCCTGGGTTCAGCAATAGCAGTCATTTTTCTCCTTCTTAGTAGCTGGTGCAGTGCTGTGTTTTTGACTTTCAGCCTGGTAACAATGCTGATAATACCAACGTTTTTAGTTGTTACTAAGTAATGATTACTCCAATCAAGGACTTTCTCAGTCTCATGCTCTGCCAGGGAGGAGGGGAAGCTGGGAGGAAAAAGAGGCAGGACACCTGACCCAAGCTAGCAAAAGGGGTATTCCATACCACAGCACATCATGCCCTGTATATAAACTGGGAGCAGTTACCCAGAAGGCCTAGATCGCTGCCTAGGTCAGGCTGGGTATCGGTCAGTGGGTGGTGAGCATTTGTTTTCTCTTCCCTTGTTATTTCCCTTATCAATATTATTATTGGTGGTAGCAGTAGTGATTTGTGTTATACCTTAGTTACTGGACTGCTCTTATTTCAATCTGTGGGAGTTACATTCTTTTGATTCTCCTCCCCATCCCTGCGGGAGCAGGGGGAGTGAGCCAGCAGCTGTGTGGTTCTGAGTTACTGGCTGGGCTTAAACCACAACACTTATATTATTTCTCGGTTCCTCCTTATCTTTGTATATTTAAGTAGAGACTTGTCAGATCAGTTCTGGAAACTGGTTGAGTGTGATGGGAATTGCTACCTATCTAAATAACAGAAAATACCTTAAAAGCATATATGGCTTCTGTGTGCTGTGCAAGCTAATTTGATATTGAAAGATTTTGTCTTTGACAAATTTAAAAGTCTTTTGTCCCATCTTGCCATATAAATTTTTACTCTTAAACATTTGTTACTCATTAGTCTTAATAATGTTTCACAGTTACAAAGTACCCCCAAAATGAGGTCTTCCCTTTTAGATTCTTGATCTGTTTAGAGGAAGATGTACATATTTCTAGTATTTCTGCATTGATGTATTTTTTTAGGAGCTTTGTTTTGAATTCAGCCAAAATCTGTCTGACACTTGTTTCATTTTAGTTTTTTTCACTTCATTTTAGTTTTTTTCAGGATCATGGAATTCTAATTTGTGGTTAAATACATTGCTTAAGTATTGTAGCTGTTTGTAAAATAAGTTAAATAGCCTACTTCCAGTTATTTGGTAGAAAAAAATATGTGAAAGTCAAAATTCAGTGCCTGTAAGCAGTGTGAAACGTTCCTTTTTATGCCAAACCTAATAAATTACACAATTAAATATAGCTTATGTTTATGTATTAGTAAATATATTATTTCTATTATCAAATATTATTTATATATTATTATGCATATAGATAAATATTTAAAGTTCCACAGAAGTTCATTATGTGTGACTTGTATTTACCAGTTGTACCATTTGCATAGAACTCTGTGACGTAAGTTTCACATGACTTTGCCAAACATGACCTGAAGGAGGACCTGAGACATCTCACTCTTCATAAAGAGTGTTTTGTATAATGATCGTTTATCTGTAGTTAGTGATCTGTATCTGTTTGTCTTAGTAGTTAAAATAAGCAGTAATCTTTGAATTTATTTTCCCCCTCTTTTTATTTTCCAATTAGTGAGTGTTTAGCTGTTCTCTAAAGCATGCATAATTGCCTGATTTTTGATACTTTTCTTAAGGTATGTTTTTATTTAAACATGCATTTCTTCTGTAACTTGGCTTAAGAAAATTGGTGGAACTGTCAGTGTTGGTGACGTAACAGAACATCTATCTTTGTTCCCAGATCAAATCTTCATAAGAGAAATAAGGCAAAGGAGATGATGGTTAAATGTACTAAAAGTGTCATGGATGTTGTTTAAGCATTTGGGGAGTGTGAATTGGCATAAACAATCCCTGAAAAGTTACCCATTTTGCTGATGTTCCAGAACTTGTTCACAGGCCGTGCTTTTTTCCTACTTGCTGGCTTTGTTTTGTGGAAAGTATGAGATTTCTCTTGCATCAAATACCTTTTTTTTATTGGACAGTTTAAATGATGTAGGATAAAATTAATACAGTTTTCAGTATTTCTTAGGTGAGTCTGATTAGCCCCAGATAGCTGGTCACAAATAAGAATTCCATGGTTCTGGAAGAAGCTGAAACGCAACAGTTCTTTCATTGTTGTCCTGTGAAAGCACCTTTCTTACAATTAATGTTCCAGTAAATGCTGAAGGAAAAACATTGTTAAAGTTTTTATAACTAGAGAAGACTGGCAACAGAGCGTCTAGTGAACTTTGCCATTGCTTATTCTAATTTGAACTGTTGTTACTGTGGAAAATATTACTGTTTGAAGCAGAGTACCTGCTGTAATTGAAGCAATATTTAAAAAACCTCTGTAGACACTAAGATACTGTATTTTGACTCATTAAATGCTAACTAGAACTGTACTAAATACCCTTTATTTTCCTAGATTGCTAGTCATAGTGGATACGTACAAGTTGACTGGAAGAGAGTTGAAAAAGATGTAAACAAAGCAAAAAAGCAGTTAAAAAAGCGTGCAAATAAGGCAGCACCTGAAATCAATACTCTAATTGAAGAGGTGAGTCCGAGGTGAAAACCTGTTTGCTACCAGCCAATTTTTCTTACCTTGTGCTAGAGGTGATTAATTGAAATTGCAGATGTAAAACTGGAAGGCAACAGAGATGGTCTGGCTTTATACTTTATTAAAAGTTAACTTAGTTTTCTGTTTTGTTCATACTTAAAAATGACACAAAGCCCTCAAATTAAAGCATTTCTACAGCTGATACAGCTTAGGGACTGCCATTAGCTTTGCTGTTTAGCCCCTCTGGAGTCTGGGCAAGTAGGAAGGCCAGTAAGATCATGGCATGGTAAAAAGTTGAGGGTGTCGTGGCTAAAACATGGCAGCTACAAAGACAAAAACCACATCATCTTAGACTGCTGATAACAGAATTACTTGGTTGGAAAAGACTGACCTTTCTGTCTGGAGTAAAGCTCTAGCTACTTTGTAAGTAGAGTTGTGGTTTTTAATCTCATTTTCGTACAGTTCAAAGAATATCTGTCTTCAGAATCTGTCAGTTACATGCTATGTTGAAAAGATAGCTTCTGATACTGATCAGTGTCACTGGGGCTATTCCATTCTGTCATTTGAAGACTTTAATCATTTTATCTTTTTTTATCTTTTTTAAAAATAGTGGGCTTAGCCTGTTTTAACTTATTTTAGCATTTTGTACAAGTAATCCAAGTTTCTTTCTCAGTAACTGTAAATCCTGACTTAGAATATGCTACAGACAATGTAACAAGAGCCATGCTAGCTCACTGTAATTAGGAGTTCCAACATCTCGGGTTTAAATTGTATGGAGTTACATATAGGTTGGTAAAACTTACTGTGAATTTTAATGTGAATGTGAAGTAGAAGTTCAAGAAAGGTGGGGTTTTTTGCTACTTCTATACCCTAAATAGTTTAATCGGTCCTTCTCCATCGCCCTGCAGAAATGGGTGGGACAGGATGGAGATTTTCTATTTTTCCCTGACCTCACATTGTATTACTTTTTTCTAATTGCATATTATTAGCCAATTCAAAGTGTTTGAATTGGAGGATATATGAAATGTCATGTTTGATGTAACGTGTTATATTCTGTGCTGTTATTTCATGACATTTTACACAAATGTTGTCACATATAAGTGTGCTTCATAGGATTAGGTTGTTAGGAAGCTGGCCTATAATGGAATGAGGTATGTTTCTTTTCCAAGGATCTAGTCTTCCAAAAGAGATTAGATTAAAATGAAGTCCCGATTAAAATGGATTAAAATGGCAGTCATGGTGGTGCTCATGCTTTTTTGCCAAGGGAGTTTGCAAAGCATTTGTCTTGTTTTAATCAAAACAAGAGTGGTATTGGCATGAAATTGCTATGACAATTCCTCTGTATTTTGACTTTCAAAATGCTAGCTGTATATTATATGTATTGTTAAAGACAGACAAGAGTCAGTTTTCACTCCATTGCTGCTAGCAGTCGCCACCAAGCTTTGTGTGTTTTTAAACATACTGTTTCCCTAACCCTTTCCCCCCAATCCCTCCCCAATTTTAGTATTTTAATTAACTTGGTTCTTTACAAATATTATCTTTCTTTTCAGTCAACAGAATTTATCAAACAGAACATTGTGGTGTCCAGTGGGTTTGTTGGAGGCTTTTTGTTGGGCCTGGCATCATAAGGACCTGAGCAGTCTCTTCCTGGGGACATTCATGTCAGTGAAGACCAATTGTGGTGACATGCTCTCTTAAAGCAGAGGGGTTCACTGGGCCTTCTGGAGCAAGATGAGTGGACTATCTAGACAACGTGGAAGCTTTTACATTTCAGGCTTTTGCCTCTTGAAGCTTGGCAAAACTAGGATTCGCTGAAAAACTCTGCAGTGTGCTCATTAAGCCATTTCTGGGCAAAACTGGTTCATCTTCATCATGACTCTTTATCTATGACCTTTCAAGATCTAGCATTTTTTAAAATGTTATTCTTGGAATATAGATATGCAACCATACTGTAAGAAAGAAAGCTCCATTTCTATGTTTTGGTTAATAATTGTTTATTTTTAAAGTATTTTTCTTCATGCTGTAGTAGATAATATCAGTGACTACATAATATATATGATACTGTAGTTTCAGCCTCATGGCTGTCCTTGTTCTTTAGAAATCACTGCAATAATCTATCAATCTGTAGTACCTTTTTACAGAGTATTAAATAACAGAGGATCATGAGCTTATTAAAGGTGAAAATTAACTTTGACTCTGGCCTTTGTATATGTAGGAAATAAGAAAGTCTTGTGTTTATACACTGCAGGCATCTGGTGGGCATATTTGCAAATATAACTGATATTTGTGTGCTAAGAAAATGTGTATATGTTATTTTTCCTAGATGTGTAGACACACATTGATTCACTGATGAAACTGTAGTACACAGATAACTGTTGCAGTCAGTAAACAACAGAGAATGTTTCAGATTTCAGTGGGTGAGGTGAAGAGGGGAGGCTTCTGCCCAAGCACTTTGCAACAGCCAGCACTCTGTAGGGCTTCACAGGGTGCATGTACTGAGTGCCTTGAATAAACTGAGAGCTGCTCTGGGAGTCTGTAGCAGCTGGAAATGATCCTCACTTTCACATTCACCTCTGTTGTCACTGTGTTCTCCACAACTGGATGTAATGTTTGGGGTTTTTTTACAGTTGTCAATTTGACTTTCACTGTCTAGGGTGTAAGCTGTGGAAAAACGAGGGTACAGGCTGGCTTCAGTTAGCTTATTGAAAGAGTGACTATTTATTTGGAAGTATGGGAAAGCAAATGGGACTTTATCTGCTCAGTGTGTTTGCTGCCTCCACCTTTGATGGACCAAAGCAGGAAGTGGATTCCGAAGGAGATGGGAAGCATAACTGTGGATGGACTGAAAAATTTATTCTCAAGTAGTTTTTCAAGTTGTTTTTAGTAATTTGTTACTAGGTTATTCTAAAGAATTTGGAATTCCAAACAAATGCTTAATTCCTTTTTCTGTTTTCAAACTTGTGAACCTTTTAGTCGTTTAGACTCTACCCAAGGAGGACTGTTTGCTCTGCCTGGCTTTCTCCAATTTTATACATTAACCAGTTAGTTAATGTGAAATGGAGTCTCTCTCATGCAGGCTCTGTGGGTTCATGTTCGCATATCTGAGCAGCAATAGTGATTCATTAGCATCAAATGGATGGATGGATGTGAACTTTGGATGTACGGGACATGAGACAAACATCCATAATCTTGGCATTTGACATAGTAACTCGGCATATGCTTAGATTAATGCATCTGTGGACTTCAAAGCTCTGTATTGTATGTTGAGTTCATATATGTATGTTTGTGGCCAAGGTGAGTAATTTATGAAGTATGTCACGTATCTGTGATGTTTAAGAGTTTAATTAATCTAAAGACTTAAAAATTTCTGAAAATAAAATTCTTGCTTCCTCCCAACCAAACCTTCAAGTGCATGGCCACAAATAACATGTTAGCATCCTAAGTACTTTGCTTTCAGGAGAATATCTAAAGCTATGTAAACTCAGTTGTTGCAGTTTATGAGAAGCCCAAGGAGGAATGTGCCTGCTATGTCATTTGGGATTGAAAGAAAAATTAAGATGAAAGTGTTAAAGCATGAAAGCTTCTATTCCTTAGTGTTCAGTCCAAGGAATAAGGGGAAGGTAACCAATCAGCTCCCTTCGCTGCTGAAGCTAATGGACTTTTGGCATGTCAAAAGAGTTGCTGGAGCCAACTGACATGAGTCACCCACCCTGACTGGAATGAACTGGAGTGTTCTGAAGGGCTTTAGGAAAGAAGTGGCCACCTCAGTATTATGAGCCTGTAAATTTGCATTTTTAAGGAGTCCGCTCTGAAAAGGATTTCAAGGGAGGAGCATCTTTTACTGTGCTTTTTAAAAAGGCTTCTTGTGATGTACTTCAGAGTATAATGGCTTTAAACTAGAAGAGGGTAGATCGTAGGAATAAATTCTTCTTTGTGAGGGTGGTGAGGCACTGGCACAGGTTGCCCAGAGAAGTTTTGGCTGCCCCATCCCTGGCAGTGCTTAAGGCCAAACCGGTTGGGGCTCAGAGCAACCTGGTCTAGTGGAGGGTGCCCCTGCCCATGGCAGGGGGTTGGAACCAGATGGTCTTTAAGGTCCCTTCCAACCAAAACCATTCTGTGATTCTATGATAGGTAAAAGTAGAATTTAAGCAACAAAAAAACAACTCAACCACCCAAAGCAAAAACAAAAAAAAACCCAAAACAAAAAACCAACCAAACAAAAAAAAAACAACAACCAAAACTGAACAAGAAAACAGCTTATGTAGCAGTGGACAAGACTGACTTCTGCAGGGGAAAGTTCTTCTATTCTGTTGCTGATACCTGAGACTCAGTAAGGCAATGAATAAAAAACTGATTGAATTAATTATATTTGAGGTTTTAATTTTTTCTTTTGAGCTTTCTGAATGAGACTCTTGTACATGGGAAAGTGTCTGAGGAACAAAAAAAGTACAGAGAAATTGTATAATTGAAAATGTGAATGCTGGTGGTTTGTATCAGGCTTTCTGCTAGCACAGAAAGACTTGTGAAGTTCTCTGGTATATTTACTTAGGTTGGTGAGGTAGAGGGGATGCTATCAACAATGACAGCTGGACCTGGTAAGGTTTGGCCATGATGGAATAGCCAACTTCGGTAAATGTAAAGTGCCAAGGTAAATAAATGCAGTATTTCCTTGCAAATACCTGAGATTTGATATGTGGAAGTTCAGAACTGTCACTGTATGTAGGGGAATGCTCTATATAGTTACAGTCAGAAAAATTGATGGCATTATTGAGAATGGAATGGAGCATAGCAGAACTACTGTGTTTCTGGTGACAAGTTCTCTGGAATGATTTCAAAGTTAGTCTAAAGATTCAGAGAAGGGAGAAATAAAGATTGAAGAAAATGTATTTGAAGAGAATTTTTGGGAAAAACCTGAAGAATTGTAGAAAACTGATTATTAAGAAGTGTTAGAAATATGTAAATTAATGACAGGCTGAGGCAGCATTTCTATGGCTTTTATTGTACAGCTGAAGAACTTTACTGAACGGTGGAAAACACGAACCTAGCACAAGAGACAGCTTTTCACATAGCACCTAATCGGTCCATGGAACTCATTTCTCCTGAAACCAAGGAACAGGCTCCATTCAGGGAAGGATGGGGCAACGTTGAGCTAAACTGCAGGAGTGCTCAGTTTTACCTAAAGGTACAAGAAAATCAACATCAGGTTTTGCTGGCTGCGGTTAATACTGCTTGATGAAGTTCAAGACAAAATGATTCTAGTGATTGGATTGTCCTACCTTTGTCTTCCACAGGCTTGTGGGGTTTTTTTTTCCTCTCAAACAGTTCTTAGCAATCACTTCTCAAATGCTAAGCTAAAAACTGACTAAGGCATACTCTATATTCATCTGTAGTGAACAATTGTTAAAAGTTTACTGGAGAATGGGTTTGGGGAGAGAGGTTTGGTAATAAAAATCATCTGCCTGTTGTGTATTACCATAATGGGATAATACACTTTCTGAACTCAGTTAAAGCAGGACTGGGCAATAAGCTTTAATTAGGAGTGAGATGCCTGGTTGATGAGAACCTGTGTGATCTTATTACTGAATTTTAAGAGGCCAGAATTTGGCGAAGTCTTTGAATGCTATTTCTGTTCTAGCAGCCAGACTGAAAATTGAAATGTTATAGTTAAAGATACAGCTGCCTCCTCAATTCAACTGCATTTGTCAAGACGTCTTAGGAAGAGTGGATGCATGCAGAGTAAAATGCAGAAGTCAACACTGATGTCTGTGCAGATTTCATAACATACATGACATACAGTAAAGTGAAGAAGCATCAGTAATGCCTCCTTTTGAAAATTGTTGGAAATCTCTAAGAATTGCTTTTAAAAAATCACACTATTACAGTATGCAGCTGTTTGTATTGTGGTCTGTAGGTGATAGTGGAAAAAGATAATGTTTGTCCACATTCAGTACAATTGGAACTATGTGACATTTTGGAATGGAGACGTGATAAACGTGAGTTTTGGTCACTCAAGGACTGTTCACAGGGTAGGTTGGTGGTGGAGTAGAAGGATTAGAATCCAACCTGCCAAGATTAGGAGGTGTTATCCTCCCTTGTATTTTGTATTACAGTTCAAAAATTAGATAGGAAGGATAAAGCTAAAGAGTGTTTTCCCCTACTGTGACTGGGAGGCAGGTCTGATGCAATGTAGTTATGTCACGCTACTGGGACATATGGAAAAGCTGGTGTTTGTGATTTGGGGGCAATCTCGGAAGTGAACAGTGGGCTTTTAATTACTGGGACAGTAGGCATGCATCAGGACCTGTAAGACTGGAAGCCAATTACAATTAAGATAATTGTGGGGTAAGGCTGCACAAGGCATCTAGTGCTGACCCAGCACAGCCTGAAACCTCAATCATGTTTGGCTCCACATTCAAGCTAAGAGGCTGTCTAAATCTTGGAGTGCTGAGGTGTAGAGATGAAGCTGGAGACTGCATTCAGTTACCTCTTCCTGGGAACCTTCTCCTGGATCCTAGACTAGTACCCTGCCTACCAGTGTAAGGTATTTTGGCATGAGATATCCTTGATCTCTCCTGCTGATGCTTTCTGTTGTGTGGATGTGTGTCAGCATTCATGGGAGTGAGGACAGAAACTTGAGTCTCATCTCAAAGTTTAGCACAAGTGATTGCTAAATAGTTAAACACGCTGTTTGCAGTCGAAATGCTCTAACAGGAAGGAAGGTAGGCTAAGCCCAGATATTTTGCTGCCTTTTTGGTAGGCTGCTTACCTGAGAACTAAAATGTGTTGTTATTCATCTAATCCTTGAAACAAAGTGTTTTGGCTTCACCATCAACCTTTCCCCTTCCTTCCCCAGCCCCCTGAAAAAAGAAATCAATTGCTCACAGCCTTAAGCTGTAAAAACCATTTCTGCATATGTGGACTGTATGTTTAAAAAATGCTTAACAGAAAATCTTAACATCCACAAAGGGAATTAATGAGTATTGAACCAGATAATTCCCATTTAATATAGACGCTTTGAACTTTCATTGCAACAACAGGCTGTCTATATACACTTGCCACTCCTGGGACCTAGAGAATTAAGAACCAATACATCTAGCATGACTTTTAATTAAACATCTTACTTTCTTGAAGTATTAAGTGTGAAGTAAATGTTACACTGTTTCCTCGTGTGTTTAACAGACAACAAACTCGTAC